TCTCCACCCTCATCTCATGTCACTGTCTCCCTTGTTCAGTGGTTTTTGGGACATTTCTGCTATCAGACTAAGCACTGCCCTGCCAATGAGCCTTTGTACATCTTCTTCCCTCCACTTGGAAAGCTGCCTCCCACCCCTCCTAGTGCAACCTAGTTCTTCTTCCTCTAAGTCTGGGTTTCAGTCCCTGACTCAGGGCAGACTTGCCTGACTTTCTATCTAAAACAAGGCCTTTCCATTCTTCTCAAAGATCCTTGTGGTACTCATTGCGACTTAAATGTTTAGTTTACTTCTCTCCTTGCATTTTCTCTGTCTTTCCCACTAGAATGTAAGACTCATGAAGGCAGAAATTTGTCTGTCTTGATACTGGCATGCCAAAACATGCCAGAAGTAGGTGCTCAGTAAGTATTTGATAGATTATAATCATTAGAATTTTCAACTTGCATATAAAAGAAAGTAGATGGTTTACAACTTAAGCTAAGAGTTCTTCTGTGTCCAAACAAAATTTTTTTAAACTACAGTCTTTAAACTGCTAGAGAGAATTAGCACAGCCTCAGCTAAATCCTCCAGAGCGAAGTATGCTTAAAGGCACTCATTCACAAATCACACACACCAGAGACCTTGCGCAGCCAACAGACCTGCTTGGCTTCCTCAAAACTGCTTCTCCTCAGAGTGGCGAATCACACAGAGGGGACAGGGACCTGTTCTCCAGCACCTGCTGCCTGCTGAGGCTGAGCTGGATACCTCCATGTTCGTTAAGTGGCTCAGTCTTTCCCATGCTTCAGAAAATAGAGACGTCTACTCCATTTTACCTGAAAGGAGGCTTGGGTTCACAGTAGTGAAGTGATAGCCTAGAGCCATGCAGTTCAGTGGAGAGTCCCCACTCCCTCTAGCATTCTTCAGTGGCCCCTCCTTACCTTGAAAATAAGTTCCAATCTCCTTAGCAGGTGCCAGAAAAGTGATACCTCCTCTCAGGATTCTTCCCATGCAGGGTGCCAGGGCTTGCAGAGTTAGAGGAATTCCTGGAATGGGTATAACACAAGTCCATGCTTGGGCATCTGCTTTTTTCTCCTGTCTCTCCCCCACAGAATGTGCCTTTTCCTACTAATCTTTTAAGATCCACATAAACAAATACACCAAAACAGATAACCCCTAGTAGAAATCTGTCCTACCAAAACAAACATGTGGGCAAAGATACTTATTCAAAAGTAGTCTTTTCACAAATAATTACTTATGACTGAAAAAATTACAAACAGCTTAAATGTTTTTAAAATGTGGGAAGACCAGATATGGTGGTACACATCTGTAATCCCAGCTATTTGGGAGGCAAAGATAAGAGGATTATAGTTTGAGGCAGACCCAGTGTGAGACTCTGAAACAAACTGAAATCAAAGAGACTTGAGAGTGTGGCTCAAGTGGTAGAGCACTTGCCTAGCAAACATAGAGCCCTGAGTTCAATTCCCAGTACTGCCAAAAAAATGTGAGAAATGTTTAACAAACTAGAACCTCCTATGCAGGGCATACTAGTACAGTCACACTTATTGTTTTGGTTTTTGTTACTTTCTTTTATTTTCTTTTTTGGATTGCCAGCAAAAAGGTCTTGACCAGATTGGTATTTAAAAAGTATGATTCTCAATGAAGTGGCTTGGAAGACTACCATGATTCTTTACAAGGGCATGTAAAGTTTCTACAGCTATGATTCACAACAGTGTCTGGACAGACAGGAGATTGAGGAAAGCTGCACAGGTTTCTGTGGGGTACAGGGTGCATTTTCCAGGACCTGTGAGCACTTTATCTCAAGAGTGTTTACAATAGAGTGGTAAGGATTGTCAACGGTTCTACCCAAACAGTAACACTGTGCTAATATGATCAGTATAAGAATGTCATTATTATATTATACATGTAAATTGATCCCTTCAAATGTGCTGCCAAGTAATAGTAACACTCAAAAGAATGTTACTCTGTTCATTAGGGTTATTCTGTAGTAAATAAGCCTTCAGATCCTGGGATCTTCTTATCCACATAACCAGTCCAACTGAGTCAGCAAGTAGCTTTCCTCCATGTGGTGATTCAGAGACCCAGGCTCCTCCTAGCTGTGGCTCTTCCATCTCTACAGCCTCAGAGTCCTGACAGATGGAGAAAAAGAATATTGAAAAGTCCCCTCTTGCTGCTTGGGCCTGCAAGTGACATAATCGCTTGCAATCTCATTCTGTGGGTGACTAGTCACCTAGTTCCAGTTAGGCACAGGAGGTGTTAGGAACATAATCCCTGGCTGAGCAGAACTCTACCCTGTGAAAGGAGAAATAACATTTCTGGTTAATAGCCCATCATCTGTGCTCCTGCCACAAATTCAAAATAGTCCAGAACCACTGAGTAATGGGGTTTTGTTGCTATGCCTCATGAAGAAGTAGGAAAATATCCAGTATTGCCTCCCTAGCAGACCAGTCCTCCTGCTCCCAGCATTCTGCATTGTCAGGTACCTTGGGTGTGAGGGAGGATTTACACTGCCTTCTCTGGATCTGGCCCCCATTCCATTCCTCCAATGCCTTTCAGTCTGTTCTTCTGTGCACAGCTTCCCTTCATTGTCTGCTATGACAACATCCTTGCTGGCCAGATCTGGCTCAGGCACTGGTCCCTGCTTCGATCAGTTGTCACTAGGGAAGCAAAGCAAGCTTCACTGTATGCATGTGATTGATGAGACATAACTACTTCCCAGAGAAAGTAATTGCTTGGGACCACTTTTCCTAGAGAGAGATTTATAGGCATGGCAGGTACTTGGAGCTTTATAGAGCAGTGCACAGAATAGTTAATAGGCCACACATGGGCTGGGGGATTAGCTCAGTGGTAGACCTCTTGCTTCATTGTCCATCCTGCTGGCCACATTTGCCATCACTTAGGCCAATCTTTCAGAAACTCAATTCCCTTGTGTTGCTACACTGATTAGGGCCTCAGTGTCTTAGAGTCCTGTTGTCAGATTGGAGAAGAGAGAATAGTCACTTGCTGAATGAAAAAGAAAAAAGAATGAGTGAACCAACAAACAAACACACATGTTCGTAATAAATACTTAATGACATAGATAGTAAAGATATAAATTATGGAACAAAAATAGAATACTATATAATTTTTTACATCAGTATAATCATAACTATGTAAATATGTATTATATGCATAAAAAGACTAAAAAGAGCTCAGCACAGTGACTCATGGTGTAATCCTAGCTACTTGGGAGGCTGATATAAGGAGGATCATAGTTTGAGGCCAGCCTAGGCAAAAAGTTGACAAGACCCCCATCTCAATCAATAGCTGGGTGTGGTGGTATACACCTGTTATCCCAGCTGGAAGCTTAAAATAGGAGGATGGAGATTCAGGCTGGCCTGAGCAGAAAGCAAGACCTTATCTCCAGAGAATAACCAGAGAAAAATTGCTGGAGGTGTGGTTTAAATGGTAGAGGGACAGCATACAGCCCAGCGTTCAAACCCCAATATCACCAAAAAAAGAGACTAGAAAGAAATACATGAAAATGTTTATAAATTATTTATAATTTTCTTTTTTAATTTGTGTTTTCCAAGCCCTCTACAATTCTTACTGTAATGTTTTACAGATTAAAAAGTCACAGTGAGGGTTATTGTTATTTTCTGAGTTTCCTCCTCCAGGAATCTGGGAAGCCCCTCTCCAACATTCTCTTAGTATTGCATGCCACTCACCAATCACACCAGATTTTGTTTGCTTTTCTATCTCCCAATAAGACTTGGTGGTCTTTGAGGAAAAAGACCGCTTCTTTTATCTCTGAATCCCCAGGGCCAAGCACATACTAAGCATTCCTAAAGGCTTGTGGACCAGAAAACAAATAGCAATGGAACAGGAGTATATAAACCCCGCGTTCTCATTCTAAATTCAGTTGCATCTTCCCTGGAATTAAAGAGATCAGGATTTCCTCCACTAGAGACCCTCCCCTGAGGTCTGGGAGGCACAGGGGGTATCCGGAAGAACTGCCTTCTTGAAGTCAGCCCTAGGGTTTCAGAGACCTAGGGGAAGTGAGAGCTGAAATCTAAGTTTGGTTTTCCTGGCCACAGCCAAGATTAGTCACGTGGTGGGACTTGGAGGATTCCCTGAGTCTGCCCATTCCTTTGGGATCTCTCACCCTTCTCCGGGCCTCCCCTGGGAACAAAGGGAAACCCCAGGATTGGGGATTGGCCTTTTTTCCGACAACAGCTGGTAGTAGTTTGCACTTAACTCTAGACCACAAATAAAATAAATGTCGTATAAGAGGATGAACTCTCATACTGTTAGGAATGAATTATGTTTTCTCTAAACATCTTCCAGAAATTTCTTATACAGGGCTTTGAGCGCCAAGTAGACCCATTCTAGAGCTAAAAGGAAGAGGCTTGGAAACTTAGGTTTTAATGATATCAACCACGACTGAAAATTGAACTAGCGACCGAGTAAAGCCACATGCATCAGGAGCGGTAAATTCCACAAAAGGTTTGTAACGCCCTACGAACTGACAGCCCAAACAGCACCCTCCCTCCGCACCCTGCGGAAAGGCGGGGTGGGCTGAGCAGGGCCGGGACTTCTTGGAGAGATGCCCGCCCACCGCAGGCGCGAGTCGTGGAGACCCCAGGACCAACCTCCGAGGGCCTGATGGGAGAACAACCAAGTCCGAGCGCCCTGGAGCACTGGAGTCCTGGACTCCAGGTTGTCCTCCCTATTGTGTCATCTAGAAAATAAACTGTAGGTTACCGAAGAGCCGCTTGCCTCTGGTTCTGGGCCAGCATGCCCCACGGGACGGCTGGGTTCTTTGATTCCACACTCACGCACTTTCTAAAACTAAACCCGAGAGGAAGGGCACGGCCCAGGGTGGGGATGTCCTGAAATATCCGAGAGTAAGAAGGGTGTGCACGCTGCGCCCGCGTACGAGTGTGTGTGTGTGTCTGTGTGGCTGCAGGACAGGAAAGGTGGGGGGGGATCGGGGAAGGCAGCAGCTGGGGCAGCCCAGGCTCCTCCTGTTCTGCCGCCCCAAGCCTCCGCCCTTTTCCCACCCGCCCCGCGTACAAAGCCGCCCATCCCGCGGTGCTGTCCTCACCGCCAGCGTCCCAGCTCGCCTAGCATCTGCCGAGCCTCCAGGCCAAGGTGAGTTCCGCCCCGCGGCCTGCCGCTCCAGGGCAGTCCCCAGCCCAGGATCTGACTCAGGGAAACCCACGGCCGACTGCGCTGGTCCTCCCCGCCCGGCTTCGCAAGGCGCCCCGGGCATAGCGGGGCCAGGGCGGGCGGCGCTGGCTCGGAATCCGCTGTGCAGTGGAGGTGGGGGGGACACGACACCCGGGAGGCGATCAGCGCCCCTCCCCAGCCCAGGCGCCTGCCCCCCCCAGACCCAGGCGGACCAGAGGAGGGGGCATTTGTCCTTTACTATGGGACCTTGGTGTTGGTGCAACTGGATGGATCTCTGGTCTCCTCCCTTTCAGTTTGCCTTGCTTTACTCCCACCTTTCCCACTCTCCGACTAGTCTCGGACTTAAGCAGACCCCTGCTTCTAGCTCCTGTCCAGGCTGGCATGCTTCGTTGTGGGTTTCCGCTGCACGCTGACCTCGGTCCAGTTGTCCGTAACCTCCTTCCAGCCGGACTGCATGCCGGAGCAGGCTGATTTGAGTTGGGGAGGGCTGGTGGCTGGGCGGCTGGAGGATTCCGTTCCGAAGGGATACTGCTCAGTTCCTCGCCCCAGCACATGCGCCAGGTTGGGCTTCCTGTTGTTTGTAGGTCTGCTAGTCCGGAAAGGACTTACCGCAGAGACAAGGAGCTCTGTTTGGTGTTTTTATAAAGCAGTGCTGGGAGGGGAAAGAGGGGAGGACACTATGTGAAGTGATTTCTCCACTGAAAGAGAACCCTCCTTGTGCTCTTAATTAAATAAAGGGGACTAGAAAGAGATGGGGCACAGCAGGCTTGATGAAGGATCTTCCAGTCCCAGATTACTTTGACCTGGTGCAGTGAGACATAAGTCCATTGATACCTGGTTCACAGCCTGAGCTTGGCCAAAGGAATGGTGCTGTCTTTGGATCTTAAAACTGTCCAGCCTCAGACAGGTTCTGCCTAACTGAAACCAAGAGCTCTGCCATTCTGGGAGGGGTGGTGTGGAAAGCAGAGCAGCTATGGGCCAACAAAGCAGCCTTGAGCCAGATTCTGAAATACATTAAACCCACCTCCCGTTGGTCCCCTCACACCCTCCCCTCTCAGGGGAAGTTGGACGCGTTTTGCAGGGTGGGGTTAGCACAAAGGGCTCCAGGATTCTCCTGGTGATCTGAGGCCTGTGACTCAGCTGTTGAGACCACGTGGGTGTGGCCCTGTTGGTTGCTGATACTCTCTGGATGGTTGGGATAGAACACTCCCTGAAGGAAAAGAGGAACTGTGCCATCTTACAGGACATTTTCCAATAGGAAGTGAGTCACCCCAGGACTGGCCTCAAATCTGAAGGAGAGGTTTCTTCACTGAGCTGCCAGACGATAGTAATTAGATTGGCAGGGCCGCAGTGGACAGCTGCTCCTTTATTGCCAGGTCATTGGCCCTTAAGCTGCCTGGCAGCAAGCCTCAGCTTTATTGGGAAGGTAGTTCTTACCATTGAGAGGTTTACTGTTGCTGCAGAGTGTCTTTTCCACTCTGAAACTCAAGTTTCAGCCTCCAGGAGTGAATTTTTATATCCTGCACTTCAGGTGAGGCCCGGCTCATGGAAACACCCTCGCAATGATCTTTGCCTCCAGTGTGCAAATTGCAAAAGATAATACCAGGGGTTGGGGCAAGAATGAGTTCATATAACTTGCTTGAAATTTCCTCATCAGCCCTGCCCCCACAGATTCCTAGCTGGTTTCTATTTAATCATCTCCTCTCAATAGCATGAATGTTCTTTGATAGCCAGAGGGGTTTCTTCACATGATCCTTATCCAACATTTGGAGTCTACTCCAGTTCCTTAACTTTTCTAGGTCTGTTGGGCATAGAGTGATTGTTTTGGCTCACCCTGATTTCTAGGTGATGCTGTTCCCCTAGCTTATCCTGGATATAATATCAGATGGGCCCTTGTCCTCCCATGTCTGGCCTCTGAGCAGCTTCTGAGCAGCCACCCCAGGTGGGTGGGGTTAAGTGTGGCTACTACGCTGCTTTCTCCACTGACAGCTCAGAAAATGTGACTTTTTAGAGCACCCTACTCGCCTGGTACGCTCTCAGACACAGTCCAGTCTTTTAAACCATAAAGTTGAGGAAACAATAGAATTCTTTCAGGGTTATAATGTATAAATCAGCACTCAAGAGTGCTGGGAATGCCAAAGTCTTAGGATCTTTCTTAAGCTTCTCATTTTCCCAGGACTCAACAACTTAGGAATCTCACATCAAAAGCAAAGAGAGGCACAACAATAAAAAATAAATAAATAAGAAATAAAAAGCAATTTCAAAAATAAAAGCACAAAGAGGGCTGGGGTACAGCTCAGTGGTAAGCCACAAGCTTAGCATGTGTGAGGCCCTGGGTTCAGTCCCCAGCACCACCAAAAAGAAAAAAAGAATACTTAAACAATTTTCAGGACTTCTATCCCTTCATTAAATAACTCCTACTCACCCTCCAAAGGATTTAATAGCAGCTGTCACAATAGCTATTGTTGGCTGGTTTAGGCAAATGCCTAAGGATTTTCTGAGGAAGAATGGATGTACTTTTGGTTGGGTTAGAGGAGGTTTCTGAGTTTTCTTCCTATTGAATTGCATCTGGAACTTTCCTTTGCTGACCAGTTCTTTAATGGGCAAGTTTTGTTTGGTGATGGAGACAGCAGATCCATTGCCTCAATACTTGCTTTTTGCTTTTGTTTTGTCTTTCTGAATTCCCTTAGGAGTTAAAGTAAGAATTAATTTTTTCAAAATCCATGAAACAAAAGGAAGGAGACCTCAAGTGTATTTTGAATAATATATGTTTGTTTTTACTGACACCCTGGCAATTATTTATGGGTGACTGTTAAAACTAAGGTATGAACAAGATATAAAGGAGAAAAGTAAATCAGGCTTCTTGGAAATTATGGCCTGGATTTGGGCATAGGTCCAGAGCAAACATTTGGGATTGCTCAGAAGCAGACACTTCTTTAAGGGGGACTCCTGCTTCCTGCTAGTCCCAGGAGATCAAAATTGCACTATCATCAATCTCATTTTTTCCCTCCCATTAAGCAGGCCCTATGAAATTGAGCACTGACTTAAGGAGCCCACAGTTTAGTGGACAAGGAATCAGAAACACAAGTAAGTCTGAAGACAGACTTCTAAATTTTATCCCCATTAGCTGAACTCCTCAAAGGCGAGAGAGAATGAGAACCCTACACAGAGAGAGACTGTGAACTTCTGAGCCTCCATTGTTAAGACCAATTACCCACACAAACATGGAGAGGGTATACATAGGCATCAGAATAAAATGATTCAGTGAAAGGACAATGAGGTCAGCACATCCTGTGGAGCTCAACAGTGAGACTTCAGAGCTAGAGAAGAGAGTGGAAGGTGGAATGAATGAAAACATGAGAAAACAGGAGGAGCAAGAAGTCCTGTCCATCTGACCAGACCAGTTTAGCAGGACGCATATTTTTTCCTTTGCGTCTGGAATGTGCTCTACTGTTCCATTATTAGGGGGAACCTGTTGGGGCCCCTTTCTTGACCCTTCTCAGCTCTCCTGTCCTGCTGAGCTCTGAGCCACAAAGTTTTCAGCCACCTCTGGATGATTACACCTGCATCTCAGTTACTGTGAAGGAGACTGATTAATCCATTGACTCACTAAACAATTATTTGGTGATCTAAGGATAAAAGCAAAATAATTCTTGACCAAGAGGGGCTCAAACCTAAGACAGATGAACAACGAAAAGTGGTTGGTTCAAGTACAGGAGTGGGTTGTCGGCACTCAAATGATAGCACTGCCTCTTGACCCAGTACCAAGGTCCTCCCTCCAAGGTGTAGCCAGGAAGTGGGAGACCCACCCCTGCTGGAGAGCATCTTGTGGGGTGCTTGTGGGGTGGAAATGCCAGATTCAAGATCCTGAAGAACTTGGGTTTTAGTAACCAACAGTTTGCACTGCAAGTCAGCCCTGCCTGGCCTGCCCAAAAAGGGAGGGGCACAGGATTTACTCTGCTGACAACCGCTGCTCTGGGGAAGGGCTACAGGATTCGTGCAGCCAAAAGAACATTTTAATTACGTTTCCTTTTTTTCCTTCATCTCACTTTAAAACCAGCGTGGGGCCCCTTCAAAACACAATCCCTTGCTTGTAGCCCTGGTCAGTGCCCATGGTACTGGTTACTGATGACATGGAGGGCATCTCTGGTTTTCAAGACTATTTTCACCTTGTGGCTTGCCAACCCCTGCTCTGCATTCTTACTGCAGGTCTACAGCACAAGCAGGAAGCCGAACTCACCACCAGATTAGTGAATAAAACAGCTGGGGGAGGTAGGGCGTGAGGGCCCTGCAGGGCAGGAGTACATCTTCATAGAGAAAGGCTCCTTTACTTCATAACCAGCATAGGCCAGGAAGGGCTGAGAGTGGAGTGACCTCAGACCTCAGTGCCTGCTCCAGTTGAGATAGACAGAAGAAGTATTAGAGTATCACCAGGTTTTCCTTAGTTTACAACTTGTATTTTGTGAGCGTTTCTGGATTAGCCCGTGCTCCCGTTGGGAGATCTTTATCCTTCTGTATCCCATTTCTTCCTTGGCTTTGAAGTGCACTATCCTTCTGCTCCATGAATCATCTAGGTGTTTCACCCACTTCTAACCTCTGGGATCTTTGGGAAATGGTCAGAAAGTGCTCTGAGACGCTGAGATCGGGCATAGATATTTTTAAACCTCTGTGGTTTCTGACTCCTTTCCTGAGTTATTTAAGTACAGAGATGGGATCTCATGTCCTTCTCCTGCAGGCCACTCACTCAGTTCAGTTCTTGTAAATTTCTGGACTTCCAGACCAATCCAGGCAACCAGATTCCTTCTAAACCATTGTCACAGGAAGCTCATATGTGATCTGGGAGAGGCAAAACCCCACTGTGTAGGAAGAGAGGGAATGGGGTGTGGTTCCCCTGGAATTCATCTCACTGTGGACCTTGAAGCATGAATTTGCTGGTGTCTCCCAAGAACTGCCTGGCAGATGAATCATGTTGGATTCTGGTTTGCATTGTTCTCTAGAGTAGCATTCTTTGGCATGCTGGTTCTCATACTTTTCTGTAGATTAAGGAGTAGAATTTCCAATTCTTAAATATAATTGCTCAATTGCCTAATCGTAGTGTTCATCGCTCTACCTTTTGCTCTGTAAAAGATAGTATTTAGAGATCTGTGTTGAATAGGCATCTGTCAGCAGCAGGAACCTGGTTCCAGTTGACACTCTTCAGCAGAATTGTCGGTCTCTCTTTCCGCCTATGCTCAAAGACTGTTGTACATGCAGACGTGTGTGTATGTATGTACGTGTGTGTGTGTGTGTGTGTGTGTGTGTGTGTGTGCTCAGCAGTAGTGATTGTACATGATATTAATCAAAGATTCTGTGTCCTGGTCAAAGCATGCCTTCCAACTAAGCCAAAATCCATTGAGCTCCAATTGAGTACCAGGCACTGGGTCTTGGTGAGACACATGCCCAGTTCATTATATCTGAATACAATGATCTGACATGTTTCCTTTCCTATAAATTCTTCTTGACAAAAAGCTTTTTATCACTGCACCCTAGAGGGTGAGAGCAACTTTTCTATCTAGTGCTGCTAAAAATGTGTCAGGCCCCCAAATGACTTAAAATATCCTGTTACTTAGTACTAATAAACTTTGGGAAGCTTGTACTCAGGTAGAGCAGCTGCATCTTATTGCTAGAGATGCAAGTTCTTTACTGTAACAGGTAACAAGTTCAGAGATTTAGTAGAGAGTACATATCCAGCAGACAAATTCATCTGTAAACAGATTTCGAAAGCCTAGACTGAGATAAAACCCGATACCAGGTTAAGTGGGGAGGGTTGAAGTTTTCATATGAATCATACTTGATTGTGTGGGTTGTTGGCATTCAACCATATCTACAAGTCTCATTTACTAGTGCCAAGAGAAATGAAGAAATATGTGATCTTTCCACTAACGGAGTGGCTCAAGTGGTAGAGTGCCTGCCTAGCAAGCATGAGTCCCTGAGTTCAAACCCCAGTACCACCAAAAAAAAAAAAAAAGGAGAGAAAAAGAAGTAATCTTTCAATAGGTGCTTTGTCAGTTAGAGGAACACTGGTCTTGCTTTTCCAAATGGTTAGTTAGGTTACTTATGCAAAATTAGTTGGCAACCAGAACCCCTTATTCAGAGCACCAGTACCTGAGTACCTAGTTCCACTAGCAAAATGGGGGTCACTTGCTCCTTAGAGTTATTGAATTTTCCAGAAAAAGTCCAGAAAGTATTAAGTGGATGATCTAATCACCTTCCTTCTCATTGTCCTCAGAAGACTGGCAATACATGTGACTTAAAGATTAATGTAAACCCTGTTTCTCTGTATCCTTTAACAGGTTTCAACAGACCTCGCCAACATGCCATCTCAAATGGAACATGCCATGGAAACCATAATGTTTACATTTCACAAATATGCAGGAGATAAAGGCTACTTAATAAAGGAGGACCTGAGGATCCTCATGGATAAGGAGTTCCCTGGATTTTTGGAAGTAAGTGTTAGAGGTCTCAGAAAGGACCAAACATAGGGAGTAATACTTCTTTTTGTCTTGCTCTTCTATCCCTTCCCTATGGGGATCACTACTAGAGAGGAATTTCATTTATTTATTTATCAAACATTATTGTGTAGGGGAAATAAAATGAAGAAGATACAGCCTCTACCCTCGAGTAGCTTATAATCTGCACATGATATAAGACTGAACACAGCCACTACCTAAGGAATTTGTTAGAAAATTCTATCAGGAGTTATCCACATTTATTGGGACAACATGGGAAAGAAGGTTTTCACAAGGGAGTTATCAACCAGGGAATGACCACTCTCCTGTCTGTAAACCCAGATGCCACATCCTGGTCACATTCCACTTTGAGAAACTTGTGTGAGTATGTGTGTGCTGGGGATTGAACCCAGGGTTTCATTCATGCTGAGCAGATGCTCTACTGAGCTTTACCTCGAACCCAAATCTCCCTTCTTAAATCCTTTTAGACCAAAGAGTTTTTCTTTTTTTGTTGATATTGGGGTTGAATTCAGGGCCTGGTGCTTTCTAGACATGCACTGTACACTTGAGCCACATTCCCAGCCTTTTTTTGCATTAGTTATTTTTCAGATAGGGTCTTGCATTTTTGCCTGGGGCAGGCCTCACTCTGAGATCCTCCTATCTGTGCTTCCCAGTAGCTGGAATTACAGTGTGTACCACCACCCCTGGCTTAACTGAGATAGGGTCTAGCTAATTTTTTATTCTGGCTGTCCTCAAATCTCGAACCTCTTGATCTCTCCCTCCCAAGTAGCTGAGGATTACAGGTATGAGCCACTCTACCCAGCCCTTAGGATTTTTCTTTTTCTGACTCTAATCCATAAAAGAATGGTGTCAATTACCTGCTGAATAAGAACTGAGCATCACCCCAGAAATAAGTGTTTTTCACACTAAAAATGATATTAACACAAGAACACAGTCCAGTTTATGCCATACCTCTGACAGATTGACCCTGAAAGACAACAACTCTTTAGTCAGACCAGTATTATTACTTAGGGCATTAGGCCATGAGGCACAGTTGTCCTGTGACTTTGTAGACCCCCAAGAAGACGTTGTCAAATTTAATGTTCAACCAAGACAAAACACTGCTTGACAGACACAATAGCAAATGTGTCATCTTGCCATGCCACAGCTATAGTCACCTAAAAGGATCCTTCTTATGCAGGTCATTGAATAATGAATTAGCCCCTGAAGGGTGAAGGAAAATGATGATAAAAGGGTAGTTCCTGCCTCTTGTCATATGCCTGGTAAATATCAGGTCAGTCAAACCCTACTCCTGTACCAGTAGACACAGGGCCTTGTAGAACACTACGTTTACACATCATCAATATCAGTGAAATAAATAGCCTAACTCCTCTCTCCAAGCTGCAGTCACCACAATGCTATGTCAGAATGAGCTGGAATATACAGTTAACTCTGCTGTTGTAAGGTCTAGTGATCTAGCCCCAGACCAGGGCTCAGAAGATCTGGCTCTAGACTAACTAACAACGAGCAGGTTGCTTCAGCTCTCTGACCTAGTTCCCTCCTCTGAAAAATGAGAAGGCAGGGCATATTTATCTGCAAGATCATTTTCACTTTTTATGATCCTTCTAAGCAAGCATAAATGCAAGAACAAAATGTGCCCAATGCAAGCCAGCCCTTCACATTGACAAAGGCTTCCTCAGCACTACTCACTTGCTCATCGTGTTGTGGCATAAGTTAGGAACAGAGTAAACCTCACATAAGACGTAGAGCCTTCCTTAAGGTTATGTGGCAAGAGAAATATAAAGGGTGTGTGTAGTGTAGAGTGTTGAACATGACGGGGTAATTTATCTCAGGAACAGGGTCATAATTCCAGACACACCCATACTTACTGCATTAACAGGGCATTTTGTTTCTAAAGTAGACCCCTTATGTCATCCAAACTTCACTCATTCTGACCACAGCCAGGAAGCTGGGGGCGAGGCCAGAATTAGCTGCATAGAGCAGGTTTTAGAGTAGAAGTTTGGAGTCCTCATGTAGGAAATGCAGCTTCTTTACTTTAAAAGATTTCTTAGTGCAATCTACAAACATCCAACATACTTGAAACACTGAATATTAGTTACCTCACTCATGTATGTAGTCACTGGAATTCATAAATACTTAATCTGAACCTTGTAATAACCTCTCATGGGTTAGAGGTTATTTCCCTCTCTAGTGGATGGCATGGACCTACAAGAGTAATCATACTTTCATACTTCTAACCAGCATTGCTATGAAAAGGAGTGAGCAAACCAATTGCCACAGAAGCAAGATGAAAGCAAAAGGGATCTCTTCTGCCCATCCCTCCCTTATATACTCATATCAGGCATCAGGGAGTTTGTAATTCCACTACACATACTCCTTTTGAAGCTTGTCCAATGTACAGCATCCAGTGAAGATTATAGGATGGCATAGCCTTACCAACGCAAAGAAGGAAGTGGGGCTAGGGGTGTAATTCAATGGTAGAGTGCGTACCTAGCATGTGGGTTCAGTCCCCACCACACACACACACACACACACACACAAATGGAAGAGACCCTCCATTCATAGTTAATACACAGAGACGTGCTAAGCTATTTGACTTACTGAAGGTTACGTGGCTAATATAGTATGATAACACTAGCCTGGCCTCAGCTGTGCCAGAGAGAAAAGAGAGCTGTCTCTCCATCTTCTCCAAACCTAAAATTCCCACATCATTAGCACTTCCTTAAAATAGGTAGGACAGTGGTCTGAAACTTACTCCCTAAATAGTCTTTTGTAGATTTTTCATAAGAAATTTCCTTTTGACTATGCTATCAGGAATAAAAATTTACTAAAAGAATGTAAATTTGAACTGGAAAATGGTGAGTATAGAATAGTTCCTAGGCAGAATCTAAATATGAAGTTACTGAAATGCTCCCTTAAGACAAAAAAAAATAAATCAAGATGACACACAAAGATCACTTATGGTCTAAGACAAGAGCTCAGATCACTAGGATATTATGCACATGGTTGTCAGAAGTGCAAATCAGATAAGCTCATAGTTGTAACCACTGACTCTTATGTTTTGCCTTTGTTCTTTTTTTTTTTAGAATCAAAAAGACCCTCTGGCTGTGGACAAAATAATGAAAGACCTGGATCAGTGCCGAGATGGCAAAGTGGGCTTCCAGAGCTTCTTTTCACTAATTGCAGGCCTCACCATTGCATGCAATGACTATTTTGTAGTACATATGAAACAGAAGGGAAAGAAGTAAGCAGATTCCCATAATTACTCCTGCCCTAATAAGAGTTCTCCCAGAGGGTCACTTAAGGGATCTGCCCCACAGCTTCTCCTTGTATCAAGATTTCACAAACAGCCCAGGACCCTTAGGAAATATGCAGATAATATCCAACTCCCATTTGGCAAGCTGAGAAAGAAAAGTTAATTAAGTGCCACATAAGATTTTGATTTTTTTTATATTGTTTGCACCCTTTTGCCCTCAATAAATAAAATCCTTTTTTATTCCGAATGTGAATTAGCATGTTTGTTTCTTCTTCCTAAATGCTTATTACCTGCTTCTTAGGTTCATGAAGAGTCAGCTTGGGGTTGCATAAACAGTACATAATAACATTTTTTTCCCCATTGAACCGACAAAATGGGAAAACACTATCCATTCAGGCTTGAAATCTTAACTTCTCTAATTGCTCTGCCCTTATAACTCTATCTATGTGAAGGACCAAACTCTAGGGTTATGAGAAGACTCTGCAGGAATATATTCTGTACTGAGCACAGTCTTGCACACTTAAATCAGTGTCTTTCCAGCCGGCACCTTGGATGTCTGAACTTTTCTGGAAAAAAAGTTCACAAAACTCCCATCTCGACTGCGGGTGTTGGTGCTTGTCTGTCATCCCAAGCTACATAGGAAGTATAAATCATGGTCTAGAACTGCCACATAAACACAAGACCCTATCTCAATCTAGGAGTGGGTGGCTCACACCTATAGTCCTAACTACTTAGGAGGCTGAGATCAGAAGGATCTGGTTCAAGGCTAGCCCAGGCAGATAGTTGGAGAGACCCCATCTACAAAATAACCAGGGCAAAATGAACTGGAGGTATGGCTCAAGCAGTAGAGCACTGGCTTTACAAGTATGAAGACCTGATCAAAAGAAAAGACCCAATCTCAAAAAATGACCAAAGCAAAAAGGGCTGGGGGTATGGTTCAGGTGGTACAGTGCCTGCCTAGTAAGCATGAGACCCTCAGTTCAAACTCTAGTACCACCAGGAAACAAAAAGGAATACAGTTCCAATCATTTTATTTTGCCTCCGTTAACAACTTCACAAATCAGTTTTGCAACTATAAGAGCATATCAGCAGGCTTACAAAGGAATTTATTACACGAGTATTAAATGGAGGAGTGAAGTTGGCTAGCTAAAAAAACTGATTCTAGGTCTACTCCAGAAATTACTTCCAAATCTATCTAGAGCTGGGCCACCAAGGGCTGTCCACTGAATCTCAGAAAGCTGCCCGCTGAACTGAGAAGCCATTGCAATAGCTGGCAGCTCAGAGCCATGCAATCTGTGGCACAGTCTAAACAGACAGCTACCGATGCCTATTGCCCTGCCTCTTTCCATACATGACTTGGTCCCATATCCAAGTCTCAAGGAAGTGCATCTGATTGTTAGAACCTCAATCACATCAAAACCCTACCTGTAAAGGAGTCTGAAAAAGAAAATTTTACATTTTCCAGCCTCTGCACACCAGGAGCACCACCCTTTCTGTCACAGTGATGATTCTTAATTCTAAGAGGTTTTTTAGCCTGTAAATTAAAGGAGGCCCTAAAAGGTAACATTTTGACAACTACAGGGACTAAGAAATCAACTGATCCATGATAGCAAGGCAAACCATCTCTCATGCTTGAGAACATGTATCCGTCCAGTCTTGCCACTTTGGATTACCTGCCTCCCGGGGGAAATGTTTACTGGGTATGATAAAGGTTAATGATCAGTTCACAAATGGGTAGGTAAAACTTTAACACTGGATGGTGATTATGAGCTCAGATGCCCATAAAACTTTCACACCCATGAAAACTTTCACACTCCAGCTGGGCACCAGTGGCTCAAGCTTATAATCCTAGCTACTTGGGAGACTGTGATCAGAAGGATCTGGGTTTGAGGCCAGGCCAGGCAAATAGTTTGTGAAATTCCATCACCAAAATAACCAGAGCAAAATGGACTAGAGGTGTGGCTCAAGGGGTACAGCTCCTACTTTGCAAGCACTAAGACCCTGAGTTCAAAACCAAGACAAAACAATTTTCACACTCTAAGCCTATTTACCTGAGGAGAGATCTATCCCAGGAGGAGGGGGCTTGAGGGATAAGGGAAAGGAAGTATCAATTAATCTTCACAGTGGGTGTATAGATTCAGAAAAATTCTGAAGCAATGTGTTATTCCCAGCAGATTATTCCAGACTCTGGCATTCAGAAAGGTTCTAGTTGCTAGGGAACCTTCTATGTCACTATTCGGGATGGGTGTATTTCTTTGTGTGCTGGGAGGAGGGTTATGACACTTTCCTCACTCTAGCCCCACTGCTCAAAGCATTTATTAGGGATCTAGTGCAAGGAAAATAAAAATGGTATTTATGGCTTGAAATCCTTCATGGCTCTTTGTGCCAACAAAAACACACAGCTCCCGTAATCTGACCTGTTAAAACAGCCATCTAGGCATTGGGGCTGCAGCCTAATGGCTCCCAGAGGGCAAAGCTGCAACTATGCCAATAGCCAACAAGAGGAACCATCTGGAAAATTCCACTCATTCTGTCACAAGGCTGAATTGTAAAGGCAGATCCCGCCCCCTCCGCACCCAATTGTGAAGGAAGAACAGATAGCAATGCAGAAAGTCCGTTGCAAACATGCTGCAGAGCTGATCACAAAAAACAGCTCATTTTCTCTCTTGGACTCCTCTTGTCCAACTCTCCTGAACATCTGTGATTTAATACTTTTCTCCTTAACCCATCTCTCTGGGAGACCAAGATAAACCTCTCTCAGGTTGACCTATTTGAAGGTGATTGGTCAAATATCCTCACAGAGACAGTTAAGAATAAAAATCCACTAATTTGGCAAATAATAACAAGGGCTACTTGTGAGGGGCACCAAGCAAATTTCCACATAAGTAAAGAGAAGCTGATGGCCACAGGACCTGCTCAGGGAGGTTACAACCTAGGCTGAAAGATAATAAAGCAGATAAGAAGCTAAATAACACAACAGAGCATTGTCAAAGGTGATGTGATGAGCACCCTTAGTGGTGACAGGAATGTAATTTATACAACCTGTGGGGAAGGCAAAAGTTGGCAATATGTATCAAATCCTTTAATGTGCTTCTTTGACCCAGTATTTCCAGTCCTAGGAATTTATCTTAATTAGGCAATCAAAGACATTTAAGATATTCATGTAAAAAGATATTTGAGCAGAGTGTAATGGTTTATGCCTGTAATCCCAGCTGCTCAGGAAGTGAAGATTGGAAGAATCGTGGTTTAAGGCCAGCCCAGACAAAAAGTTAGTGAGCCCCCATCTCAACAAATAAGCCAGGTATGTATGCCTGCACTCACAGCTACTTGGGAGGCATAGGTAGGAAGATCATGATCTAAGGTCAGGTCAGCCCTGGGTGAAAAGTGAGACCCTCTCTGAAAAAACAAAAACAGAAATAAACAAACAACAACAACAAACCTTAAAAAGGAAAAAAGGGCTGGAGGCTCAAGTGATAGAACACTTGCCAACCTCAGGACCCTGAATTCACCTCTCCTCCCCAAAAAAAAGATACTTGATGTAGCACAATTTAGAATGGCTACAACCTGAATAAAACCTCTATGTTCAACAACAGGGTATGGCTAAATAGTCATGTATAAATGTATGTAGGATACTCTATGGATTGAAAGCCATAACTTTGAAAACAAATGAGATGGAGAAACATCTATGTAAAGTAAAGTAGGCTGCAAAATTTGTATATATTGGGATTCCTTTCTTTTTTAAGTATGTGTGCCTGCTTATGAATATGCACAGGGAGAGAGAAAGAGAGAGAGAGAGAAAGGAAATACACTCACCTGTGTTTACTTTCCAGAGGAGGAATTAGTGGAAATTGTTATCTCCAGAAAGATGTTTTGTTATTATAATTTTCTCTATATACACTGCTATGTTATCTAAGCTTCTGTAGTAATTTCAGAATCTGGAAAATAAAAAAACTCAAATATACTTTGAAAGAACATATGTATTTATTGAGGGTCTCCAATGAGTCTGGACCTATATGAGGCATTTCTTAAGCATTATCTTGCTTAGTTCTCACAATAGGCCTGTTAAGATGTCACAATATCCATTTTACAGATGACAAAACTAAGACTTAAGTAAACTTAAATAACTCCCTCAAAGTTCCACACTACTTACTATGTCAAAATATTCTGTTTCTTTCCTTCTATTCTGCAGCTGTATCAAGTGTTATTTCAGTAAATTGAGTATCAAGTGTGTTAACTCTTTTGAAAGAGTAATGAATCATGTGGGTGGGTAAGACTATTCAGAGAAGATTCTATGTTAGATAGGATATTATCTAATTCTTGAAGATTATAAGAAATTTGGGTAAAGTTAATACTCACTGAATTCTTACTACATTCCAGGCTCTGTTCTACTGCTTTACTTGTACTAATTCTTTTGTTCCTTCCAACAACTGTGAAGTAGCTATGAAACTGTTCCCACTTTACAGGTGATTTGACCAAGGTGTAGAACCAATAAGCGGTGGAAGCAGAATTTGGATCCAAACTGGCTAAGGTTTTAGCCATTCCTCTGCAGCATCCCAGACACAGCAATGACGGAGCCAAGAAATTCCTAGGGCACAGAGCACTCGGGAAGCCAAGAAAATCCAGAACAGCTAAAAGAGGAGGTGTTCACATAGAAAGTACATGTAGGCAAGACAGGAAAGGTGGGAGGTGTTAAATGAATTCTAAATGTTAAGGAATATAGGTTATATGAAATGTGATGTCGAGATCCCTCAATTTAAAATGCTACAGATTTAAAGTTTAGGTTATTTAGACTTCTGTAGGAGAAAGAGATGACTCTAAAAGGAAATAATCAAATCATAAATATTCTTCAGTGTTCCACCCATTCTCCTCCTGCACTCACATTCTAATCACACTCCTGCTACAAAGGATAAAGCAAGGTGGGGTTCATATTTATCTTTCTGAAATGCCTTATGAACAGAATAGGAAGGAAAAAAATTAGCCTAACATAAGTGATGTCAAATTTAAGAGAAGCCTGCAAAATATTATGTTCATTCTGACTGTAACTACTGAATTTTTTTTAAATGCATGAGCGTGTGCAAAGTCTGGAAGGGGTTATATAAAAGTGAAGCGGTTATGTTATCTATCTTTTCTTTAATACTATTACATCAGTCCTTCAATAAGGTGGAAAATAATTTCCATTAGCTCTGTGGACACAGAACTTGGCATACTCAGTGTAAAATCCTATCTGTTGTTACCCAAAGCC